ACTCGAGTGTGCTAAATATTTTGTTGCCGACATATTTATATATTAATAAAGAGTTACATGAATGGAAAAAAATGCATGAAAAAAAATTGCAAAAAATTTGTTTTGAAAAATGTTAAATTTTTAGAGACCAGAATTAAAATTCTACAGCTTCTGTAACAAGATTAGGGATAGACAAAGATTAGTGAAACAAGTCAATCAATCACTACAATGATAAATGTTTTGGAAAAATTTGGATGAAATTTCTGATAATAAAAATTATAGGTGGTTATGCAGTTTTGATTTTTTTCGAAATATTTCACCTTAAATAGTTTTTACATGCGTAACACGCTTTGTTGAAGCCTCTAGGAGACGTGGAATGAGGATTATTGTCGTATAGTTATTTGACTCGAAGGGGATGCAATCGAAAATAGAAAACTATATAACAATATAATCTAATTTTTGATTAACTTTCGCACTGCTAAGAAATGAAATTACATGATTTAAACAAAATCATTTATTTAATTTACCTTTTTATAATTGTAGTTTTATTGTTTTTTGATTTTATTTTTATTGTTATTTTATTTTTTTTTTGTTTAAAAACAGATGGCTTGTCTTGATGCCGGAGGAACTTTAGGCCCAGTAACTATTGTTAAAGAATTATCAACATATAAGTTCAATCCACATTCTCAATCTCTTGTGTCAACTAACATCGCCGAATGCATGAAAATTTATCTTTCCGATTGTATCGACTTTATTGCTGATATTCATACAACCAACAAATTGAAAGTTTGTAATTTTTAATCTCATACAAAATCTATTATCTATTATTTTATTTTTCGGTAGCCTAAGATCATATCAAGGGTGTGCACAATTGGCATTTATTTAATCATTTAAGACAGAAATGAAATAAGCATCTATTGACATGGAAAAAGTATATTTTATAACTTGAAATAAATAACGTGACAAATAAATAAATATGTAACTTTTATTTTTTTTTTAATAAAACTGGTTTAAGTCAAAAATTGCGTTTCGATGCCTAAAGTATATGTGATTATGAAGCCTTACAAACAGCACAAAGTATATGTGATTATGAATCATTACCAAAGTACAGCAAAAAGTATGATATATATGAGCTGCATTTATATTTCTTCTATATACTCAACTTTCTTCGATTTCTCAACCTGAATTTTTACTTGACGATCCTACTCTTCTTCTTGTTACTTCATTGGTCTTATCTAGGATTGATTATTGTAACTCGTTCTACTATGGTCTTCCTTCTAAGCCAGGTCAGGTGCTCAATAATAATTCTGATTTTCCAGATCACTCTGAAGATAATGTTGTGTTTAATTTCGTCTAACGTGCTAACAAAATTTTATCCGTTACTAAGATCTTCCATGCAGAATTGAAAAGGATCCAACAACATCTAATCAACAACTATTCCAATAAAATAATTGATTGTGCCATCAATAACGCTAAAACTCCTACTACATCTCTAGACGAATCGCAATTAAAACGCATCAAATCCAATATTTTCAACTGTGACAACAAAAATCGACTCAAATTAATAATATACTTTAAAACTAATCGCTCATCCAACCTCATCTTAAAAAACAGCAACAGTTGACAATACTGGAGAAGACGAATCTCGTGTACCGAATTACATGCCCTATGCCACACAGTATTGTGGAAAGTTACAACGGTCACAGGTGTACTCACTACACAAAGATTATAGGCAAAGCGAACACCATATGCCTCCCACTAGAGCTATTCTGGATCCCATCACACAATTCTCGAGTTTGAAACCCATCCAGTTCCCCGTAAAATCAAAGAGACTCTGTACATCAACAAACACAAACCATCACTCAATAAACAATTCAATAGTTTTGGACACAATCATTTCCGCAATACCGTGACCTGACTACAATAGCTGCCGTTAATGTAAACCCGAAAAATTGCGTTTTGCCACAATGACACAAATTTCGCTCTCGATCAGTCTCTGTAGCTTCTTTCTTCGACATCTTCAGTTGTTATAATCTTCTGACTATCCCATTTTTGACACCAGTTGTTATACCGACCCCTTGATTTCTAACTACTAGTTCTTTACGTATGTAACAATATGTTTGATGTGTCTTGTGATGAAAGTCTTTTCCTGATATGTATTCGTTACTAATTATCGCTCACATCTGCATGAATGCATGATTCATTACACACGCCAACAACTGCTTGATCTTCAACCCGACAAATTTGCCATCAAAAGACCGCTACGAAAAACTCTCTTTCTTAACAAAATTTGGAACCGTCACCAACATCAGCACCTCTCCTCTTTTCCTCAATTGCTATAGCACTCTACAACAACTACAACATCAACACACCCGGCTTATCTACCTAACATTTAATTGATCATCAGCAATACCAGTAGTTGTTTCATCAACCCGTAAAAGAAACAACCACCCCAGTCGACGCACCTCACTTAATCATCCTAATCTCATCAACATTAATGTTGATGGGAATAGGATTCTCACTCCGACTTCCAACCTAGCCAAAATCATCCCATGCCAAAATCATCGTTCACCCACCATCTACATTTTGAATGTATATTGTGAGAAAGCTACATGCCGTTGAGCATTTGAGATGTGATGTTTATCATCTCCACCCTGGCATCATCATCACCGAGTCATGGCTTAGGCCAGATCACCCTGATAATTTGATCGCAATAGATGGCTACACACCCTTAAAAAAAATTCGCCTTGACAAGCGGCGTGGAGGAGGTGTTGTCATCTATTTGAAATCATCCATCTAATCTCAAATTCACATCGTTTCGCCTCATGCTGTCACTGATGCACTGGAAACCCTTTGTCTCAAGTGCATTATTGACAGTGAACCATACTTCATCTGCGCCATCTATCATCCGCCAAATCATCCATCATACGAAGTCTCCTCCTTGATGGGTTACATCGATAAATCTACTATAACTATCACGCAAACTATCAGAGATCCAAGCGACTATAATCAACAGCTAAAAATAACACCAAAGCGAAACCAAATGCTGCCTTAAATATGTTTTTACTGCCTTATCTACATAAAGCTTCTATATCAGGGGTTCCCAACCTTTTTTTTGTTGTACCCCCAAGTTAAAATGTTATTTGCGTACGTACCCCCATCAGACAAAAATTTCTCAGAAACTTTATTTTTTTAGTAATTTAGCTATTTTAGTAAATTTTGGTTATTTTAGTACAGTCACTATCTGCTTATACATTTTACTAAATTTATTATAATATTAATATGTATTAAAATTATTATGGTTTCATGCCAAAATTAATTTAATTGAAGACGATGTTATTTTTATTTTTGTAATCTTTTTGAAAAACATGAAAATATAGTCCTGCTAATAATAATTATTATGCTAATAAAAACCTATTAGTCATAGTTTTCTGCTAAGACAAAGAGTCAGAGAGTTCCGCTCATTGTCACAATAAAAGTATAATCATGTTAATGTGAGCACTGAGCTTGCTTAGATTTGCACAATTCTGCAATTTCAGGCTTTATTAATGTCAATTTTAGACGCAAGTCTGGCTCAAGTTCAAGTTTTGATCTGTATTTGTTTTTTATTGCCAACATTGCAGAAAATCCAGTTTCACAGAGATAAGAAGTACTGAAAGGGATCAAAAATTTCAAACCTCTGTCAGAAATTAATCCATATTCTTCTCTTCTTTTAAGCCAAAAAGACACACTTCAAAGACGCAATCACTATCGTTACAATTTTACAATACTATTAATTTTGGTAACATTAATAATAACAATGATGATAATAGTCTTTCTAATAGTAATATTACTTGTAACAAAAATAATAATATTATTAACAATAGTGCCAATTATTTTTCTTTACTACGAAGTCTTAACTTACTACAACTGGCGAAGTCTTAAACTAGTTGATGGATTGATAACACCTTGGTTTAGCAGTGTAGATCTCGTTTACCTCCTCTTGTTTTGCTAGTGTAAAAAGGGCGTGTTACCTGTCTGATTGGCTATGAGCTCTTACTATCAATTCGACGGGTAATAAGGCCGGTTTTTCCTTGATTATCGTCTCCGGTTGAGAATGCGAAATCGGCTTTTGAACGATCTTCCTGTTGCAAATTGAGTTCACCTAATTGACACCTCATGGACATTTATTTGTCCGGTTCACACTGGTTCTCCATTCTAGACTTAAAAAACTTTTCAAGATTATTTTTATCGACTAGCCGACCATTACTCTGATGTTGAATATCCAAAGACTACACGATATTTACAGATTGACAAATACCTATTCCTTGGTCATTTTTAATTGTGATGGAATGCTCTGTCACAATTAACACCCGAACGGGAACAAAGCCATTTTCATTTGCTTTCGCGGGACTCTTTCCAATAACAATGTTGTTACATTCCATCGTTGTCGTTGGCTCAACCAGGTAGAATTGGTGGTCCCCAGTATCGCCAATTATTTTCACCCATACGATGTTCTCTTATGATTTAAGTACTTCAATATCACTGTCGATTGATTGTCGATCACTGTCACATTTCACATCTCCATTACTATTTCTGTATTTCTCCATCTAAGGACCCGTTTTTCTAAATCAATTTTTAAACTGTTTTGTTAGGAAATCAACGCCTAAGGAAAATCGTCAGTGACTATTAGGAATGTATCCTCGAATGCTAAACCGCCTAGTTGAACAGTATAAAAAATTTCTCCTTAGACGAGCGCTTTTTCTCCTGTAGTTGTTTGAAGAATGTATTTATGAAAATTTTCTCTTCATGGTTTGGGTACCAGATCAGATCTTAAAATTGATCTAGTTGCTCCGGAGTCGATCGTAATTGAACAATTTTATCATCCAATAAAAGTCGTACTGATTTCGATGCAGTCCAGAGACGTTAATCCCGGTGCTGGGGGCGTCAATTTTACCAGCCAACTACTGCCCCTCGAAATTGGCTTTTATTAGTTTCCCGCATCCTTGTTTGAGCAGTCGGTCATGACGCGGAGTCACCATTTAATCGTTTGTGCCATGTTGCTGCACAATGACGACAGTAATTGTTTCTAGAGCAGTGTTTACAATCTCGTCGTAGATGTCCTTTTTCTCTATAATTTCAGCATTTTGACAATAATCCTGATCTTTTTGTTCTAGAATCATCTTTTGACACTAACATTCTGTACAAATTTGTCGCAGCTTTGATCTAGCTTTGCTGACTTGAATGTAAGACTTTGTCTTTGAAGTTGCGTTTGTCTGCTAGTATGAGAGTTTGTCTAAGATCTGAATCTTGAGCGTTTCCAATGCAGTTTCTTTTCTGTGTTTTGGGTCGTACGTAAGGTATGACAGCAGAGTCAACAGTTCATTATCCTGTGCCAGCTGATGTATTGACTCTCCAGGTCGCTGCGCCAGATTTCGTAACTTAGACCAATAAATTTGCTTCATTTGTTCTTGACCGTTACGTAAATTTATCGCATTTATCAGGACTTCATAGTGAAATGATTCTCAACTGGAATCGTTTGAAGAACTTCCGCCGTTGACCCTCGTAATGCTACCACAGGAGCCGTTGTCCGCTCTCTTTCATTCCATCCATAATTCATTTCTGCTTCTTCAAACTAGGCTTTATAAATGTTCCAGAAGTTTCTCCGTCGAATGCTGGCGCTTTCAATGTTTTTGCGGTCACATGGCTTACAGGTGTGGAGTTTACATTATTAGTTTTTTCTAGATTTTGTTTAAATTTATCCATTTTGCAAGATAACTTCTTGTCGAGCTCGATAAACTTTTGATCAAATTTCTGTTTAATTTTTGCATTGATTACTGCCGATTGCTGTTCAGCTTTGACAAATTTCTGTTCAATTATTCAACGTGACGTTTTCAATTTTTGCTTTGTTTACTGCCGATTTGCTGTTCAGCTTTGACATCGAATTGATCTCTCAGTTCTCTCAACTGTTGTATCATTTTAGTATCAATCGCTACCGACCTTTGTTCGATTTTTGCATCAATTTGATCTTTCGTCTGTTCAATTTTTGCATCAATTTGATTTCACGTCTAATTTATTTCTGCTGATTGTTGTTAAATTTTCACATCAATTTGTTCTCTCGTCGGTTTTATTTCTGTTAATATAGTTCGAAGTAGTGTCATCAATTTGGTGCTTGCCCCAGCATTTACAACTGCATTCGATTCGACATCCTGATTGTCAAATTCAATTTTATCTGGTTTCTCATTTTCATTGACAAGAGCTTTCGTTAGGTCAAATTTGATCAAAAGTTTATCTCCTCTTTTTCCACTTGTAGCAAAATTTTTTTTGTAACTTTTTTGCTGTTGCACCAATTTAAGCTGATGTAATTTCGTCATGTTGTTTTTACAAAATATCTTGTCGACGAAGAAAAAACAATCAAAATTTTAAACAACGATGCTCACTTATTTTTCACCGAAGACTTCTGACACAATTCCGCCGAAGATCCCTCTTCTGACACCAATGTTAAAACTGTCCGATTGACAATGGGTTCGTTTATCGCAATGAAAAATAGCTAACTATCGTTTTATTTACAAATCGATATTCATCGGTAATCAATTATTCAATAATCAATGTTAATTAATTTCACTATTAAAAGTTAATGATCACAAATTATTAAATTAACGTTTAGAAACTATCGCTTTCCAAATAACAATGCACTAACGTTCATCGCAAACACAATAAAAATACAGCGCAAAGTCAAATTTCAAATATCGCTTTTGACACTAACAATCAATCCTTTTTAATATCAAATATTCAATATCTCGCATGTCAGAAGGTACTAGTTCCTTCTCGAAATGCGTTCGTAGCGATACTAGCTCCAATAGCTAATATATTTTTGACGGTTATCTTATAACAATACTTTATTCATTATCATTTTTTCAACGTAATTATTATAACGATATTAATTTAATTGACTTTTTGTTCAAATAGCTTTTTAATAGTTATATTTATAATACATTTGTAGTTTTATACTAGAGTTTCTGTAAAACAAAATATTGGTGATTTTCTAAAATTATCATAATATTTTGAATCTTATACAGTCAAATTTGAAAGGAACGTCACAAAATTTAAACGAGGATACGTTAGGAAGCCATCTGAAAATTGGTATATCTCAATATATAGCACTAGAATTTTGTCAATCAACTACCAAAGATGCTAAATTAATTGCACGATATTTGCCATGGTTGTTTCATCCACCATCTGCCATGCAACAAGGGTATGTTTTACCATTATTATCTCAAATATTAATTTTGAAATGATTTTAGAGTTTTATTTCGTAGTTTTTTTGTTGCATTAATTTTCAAGCGCCCACGTCTTGAATATGCTTGAATATGCGTGTTGAAAGATTCAATCAATCAATTTTCGTTTAGCGTCCAGAGACCCAGTTTCCCAAGGTAGGACGTTGTTTTTTTTGCCATCAACTTTTTGCGCCAAATTAGACGACCTGTTATATCAATTTCATTTAAATTTAGAGCTTTCATGTCTTGCTCGATTGTTTGCGACCAGGACTTCTTTGGACGGTTTTAGGCACGTGTGCCAGGTACTTCAACATCTGCAAGAGAAGTTATGGCACTGTTTCCACTTCGTTTGACATGACCAAACCACCGCAGACGGTGTTGCCGGCATTCGTCCTTCATATCATTTAAACCAGCACGACGCAGGATTTAGGTAGATTTGATGTGGTCCTTCAGACTAATTCGTTGCATCCATCGGAGCATTTTCATGTCGGTTCGTTGAAGTTGTTGTTCCAGTTTGGTTGTCATTGGCCATGTTTCTGCACCATATAACAAGACCGGACGTATCACAGATTTATAAAGTCTTGATCGTAGTGGTAGTGGGATGTCACGCCGCATCAATATAGAGGCAAGGAAGTGCCATTTATTCCAGGCTGCACATATGCGTGATCGAACGGCAGCTTCAGCTGTTCCAGTACAATCCAGAACATCCCCTGGATATTGAAACGATGTGACTTTCTCTACCTTAATGGCTTCAAAAACATTGCTATTTAGAATTTGTTGTTGTGGATTGACAAGCAGGACAAACAAAATCGGACACTTTAGATAAAGTACCAATTAATTTTGAACAACGTTTATGACACCACTGGTAACACTGTTGACCCTTGATTGAATTGTTACCTACACCAGCTTTACAAACTGAACAGGGCCATCGTCCAGTAGCTGTGGATTGGATGGGTTCAGCACTCTTTCAGCATTGCTTTGGTTTTGCTGATGTTGACTTTGAATCCATGATCTGGTGTTCCAATCCTCAAACATCGGTCTGCATTCTGCTCAGACGTGGCTGTCATCAGCATATATTAGATTCTAAATGTCACCGGTGCCTATCGGTTTTGTGATTTCTTCCATCACAGTTATAAATAACAGTGGACTGAGAATCGAGCCTTGGTAAACTCCAACGCCGATGTGAAATGCATCTCTGTTTTCAACCGTTGTGCTGACGAGAGTCTTAGTATTCGTATACAATTTCATCACAAGTCGAACAAGGTTATCTGGAATGAGTTGTCGAAAGGAAACCAAATTGATAATTTCCGATTGTGATGCACAACGTTAATCTTCTCTCAATGATTTTCTTGACAATTTTCAGGGAGTGTTTTAATAGACGTATACCCCGATATGATAAACAGTTTAATGGATCACGTTTGCCTTTGTATAGCGGAACTGTCATGCTATAGTTCCATTCAATCGGCATTGAGCAATTTCTCCAGACTTAACGGCAAAGTTGTAGTAACGTTTGGATACCTGCAGTACTAGATGCTTTGATAATGTCATTTGTGAGTCCAGAGGGCCCTGCTGCCTTTCCATCTTTCATAGCTTTCAGAGCTTCTGTAAGCTCTTCTACAGTGATGTCTAGAATCGGACCTTCGATGGGTGAAGCGTCAAAGTTGATATTGATGAGATTTGTTTTATTTAACAGATTGTTGAAGTATTCTCTCCACTGTAGCTTGTTTTCATCTTGTTCAAGAACCATCTTTTTGTCGTTTTTGATACATGAGGCACCAACTATGTCTTTTTTCGTACGCTTTGCTTGTTTTGCTATACGATGCAGAGATTTCATTTGTTCACCTTTGCTTTTAGTGAGCCACTCTCTGCACTGATCTGTCCAAGTCAGTGCGACTTGACGTCATGCATAGTTAAGTTGTTCTTCTCACGGAAAACTTTATGGTCATCAACAGACTTTGATTTTTGCCATTGCTTGTATGCAGCTTTCTTTTCAGCTTTTGTACATTTTCCTGAAAGATTGGTTAGTTTAATATTGTTATAACCGCATGAATATAGTGCTATATTATCTGTTATTTTAATTATCATTTAACTATGCTATATTTGAAATCTTTGAGAAGGTTGTAAAATTGTGTCTATGCTAACTCGGCTATAAATACGACGTTCAGGCCTTAGCCTGGTGAAGTGGTAGAAGTTGAGGTAGAAGTTGAGTTTTATGCGAAGTCGTAAATGTGATTTATGTCGTTATTTGGATTAATTTATTGTTTCTATTATTGCCGGTATTCATGCTATATTTGAAATCTTTGAGAAGGTTGTAAAATTGTGTCTATGCTAACTCGGCTATAAATACGACGTTCAGGCCTTAGCCTGGTGGAGTGGTAGAAGTTGAGGTAGAAGTTGAGTTTTATGCGAAGTCGTAAATGTGATTTATGTCGTTATTTGGATTAATTTATTGTTTCTATTACTGCCGGTATTCAAATAAACGTTCAACAAAGTTTGCGTTTGAAGTAGTTGTGTTCATCTATCGGAAATCTTGAACCTACGGATAAACGAACTCTTGACTATCATGGTGTTGGAAATATAGAAATTATTGAAGCTCGGTGTTGGTAGTTACGAGGTCAAGAATTTACAACAATATTAAGATTCGTAGCAATGCACGCCGGTATAGCTAATGATATATAATTTATGATTATTATAATAATTATTATATTAATATAATTTACAATAGTTTAATATTTGCCGCACGTATTTGATCTAAATTATTTTTGTTAAAGACCAAGAGAATTTGTTGATTGTATTTGTCACATAAGAATATTGTGCTGGTTATTGCTCGGCTCTTTGATGCATAGCTCGGTTACTAGAGGGGCTGGTGCAGTCGTATGCAGACCTTTAACTTTGGAAACATCAGTGCATATTGCGGATCATATTATGGTCATTCTCACTGGATTTACCAGTCAAGCGAGGGTATTTTTAATAGTTTTTAATAGTTTATTCATTTTCATAACTTGTTTATTTCACTATTTCCAGACATCTGTTCTTCATATGTCGTCATTATTTCACGCATTCATGCTTTGTCAAGTTAGAATTTTTTGTTTTAAAAAATCTGATTTAAAAAAAAATATTTTTTATAAATTTTAAAATGTCTTAAACTTTGGTAACTTCTTCAACTAAAAAAGAAATAGCACGAATCGATTTTTATGGTTTATAAAACGCCTTAGAAACTGTCGAATGCTTATATTTTTTGGACGAGTCAATTTACATTAGTACATACTAGTAGACATGTTGCGCAATTCTGGTTCCTGAGACGTGACTCGGTTTTAATCCTGGTTCACGAATCTTGTGAAAGAGAAAATCGGACGTTCCAAGCTTCTCATTTGAAATGAGTTTTATGTGATTTTTTTAAACTTTTTTTACTAAAAAATTATTTTAGATCGGTTTTATTTATTTTTTTTTATATTTTATATCATTTCAATTTTTAATATCTAATAACATTTTAAAAATTTTTCAGTAAAATTTTATTTTTTCTAAATTATAAGAAATTTTTTTCATTTAAAATTGAAAAAATTTATCTGTTTGAATTTTACTCCATTCTGTGTTGTCGGGTTGAATTTTTTGAATTTTATTAAATTAAATTTAATTTTTAAAAACAATTTATTTCATGAATTATTTAATATAAAAATGTTCCAAATAAACAGATTTTTCGAAAATTTTAGTGTCGACGCTAGACGGCATATTGACCAACCTATTATGACGGGCTGTAGGTCATCGCGTTAAGCGGTTCGGTTCATGAATGAATTGCGTAACATGTCTAGTAGTGTCATAAATATTGTAGATTATTTCACCTCGGATATCTCGACAAGACATGGATGGCTCACTACACAAAATCACATGACACACTTTTCAGCTAGTTGGCTAGCAAGTAAAGCAAAGCACTAGCATGCAAAATTGATGTACGTGGTTGTAAACACGTTGTTCATTTACGTTTGTTTTGCATTGCGAGAACATCAGTTATTTTCGAATTAAATAATTTATAAATTTATTTGTTTGTTAAGTGGGGAAGGTGGGGAGCGAGTGATAAGTAAAATAGACCCCTGTGGTGTATGTGACAGGAGAGTGAAGGCTAACTCGGTATTGTGTATAGGATGTCAGAAATGGGTGCATAAGAGATGTAGTGGTGTGAAGGGGGCACTGAAAAAGGTGGAAGGCACGTTCAAATGTAAGAAATGTGTTCATGGTGTGATTAATAGGACGGACGCAAGAACGGGGTTGAGTGGTGGTATTGAAAGAGTGGAAAGCTTTGTTTACTTAGGGGATAAGCTGAATGCGGATGGATGATGTTTGAGCGCAGTTACGGCTAGAGTTCGTTTAGGATGGATGAAATTTAGGGAACTGGGTGGGGTATTGTGTGGAAAGAAATGGTCAGTGAAGATGAAAGGGAGGGTATATAAAACATGTGTGAGAGCAGCGATGGTAAATGCTGGTGAAACTTGGGTGTTGAGGAGAGATGAGGAAAGTGTACTGCAGAGGGCTGAAAGAGCTATGGTGAGGATGATGTGTGGGGTTAAAGTGAAGGATAGGAGGAGTAGTACAGAGCTGATGTCAATGATGGGACTGAATGAGGACATTGTGACATTGATAAGGAGATCGAGATTGCGGTGGTATGGACATGTGTTGAGAAGGGATGAAAGGGTCGGGATTAGGCGAGCGTTGAAGTTCGAGGTTGAAGGAGTGGTAGGAAGGGGTCGTCCGCGATTGGGATGGAGAGACTAGGTGGAGAAGGACAGGGTGAAAGCGGGGTTGCGTGATACTGAAGCGAGTGACAGATGTGGATGGCGTCGAGGGGTATTTCGGTTTCATCATAGGTAGCCAAACGGCAATCCCCGATCTCGGGGAAAATGCCGTCTAAACGTGTGTTGTTGTTGTTGTTGTTATTTGTTTGTTAAGACATTTGTTATTATGTTAATAAAATTTTTATTGCAATTCCTAACTAAAACATTTTTTTTAAATATTTTGTGTATGGATAATGGTTGTGAATCAAATCCTACAAAGGCTGAAAATAATGATGTTTTATTTCATGCCTACCCATTAAAAAATCATGATTTATATCAAAAATGAATACGAATACAAGCAAATTTACGAAAAAATTATACACCATGCAAATTTTCAAGAGTATGTTTTCGCATTTCGATGAATCCGGCGGTTTAGACAAAAAGTACTAAAATACGAGTTATATAAGATTTATGATGAAATACAACGCAGAAGAATGACGGCCTTCAAAATTCAAAAACCTGCTAACGAATCGATCAACACCAAACCAACAACCAAGGTCTAAAAGCAAATCATCAGCAGCTCCTGCATGTTGGACTGGGTTAATTTCTTTTTTGATCAAACATATTCATATATCTAGTCAACAAGTTAACAGCAAACAGAATGTTTTATGAAGTGTTAATAATGCTTCATAAATTGAATGTGGATGTTGTGAGAGTTTTAATCAAGAAATTGTTAATTTCATCGATGATATTTTTCATAAAATTGATCAACCATTAAGCGTTTCAACCGATGAAATTATTAGAGAAAAGATAGACGTCAATTTCCCCAACAAAAATGAAGCAAGCTCAATTTACTATATTACCAGAGCGTCAGTAAAAGTGTAATTAATCGATATTGCCTTCCAAATCTAAATGTGCTAGTTGCAAAGAAATACTACTCAAATGCGAATCATATCATTCTGATGAGAACGCAAACGTTGTTCAGTATTTGGACTTGGACGATGTCAACAGAGGAGGTCTCAACACCAAGTGAATATGTTTTCTCAAAGTGCCTACATTGAATATATTCGAAGCTATAAAAATTAGGATAAGGAACTGAAGATGTTTTTAAAATCAATTAACCAAATGATATTGTTTTTGACAATCATAAACAGATATACTCCGGATGGTGATATTATAATTGAAAATATGTATTGTATTGCACATTCAATTAAGATGTCGAAAAAATAATTTTTGGACAATTTTTAACTGCAAATTTAATTAAAAACATCACTGAAAATGCTAATATTAAAATGAACTATACTGTAAACAAAATTGAGCAAATTTAAATTCTTCTTCTTTTTAGTGTCTTAACCTTTCAGGACATTTTTTAGTCATTATTGCAACTCTGACATACGCAGAACCACACCTCAGCAAAATTAATCTTTTTTTCCATTTCTTTAGTAATTGTCCAGGATTCCGTGCCGTAATTGAGCACAGGAAACATGTAACACTGGTTCTGATTTTGGTTTTGTGAGGATGTTTTTCATTTTAGAATAAGCATTTTTGTTTGATATCCACCTCACATTTACAAGCTGATGTAATCATACTTCAGAGATAATTGGAGCTTTTGACTTTTTACTGTTTTGTGCAAACCTTTCCTTTCACTTTCAAAATTCAGTTTGGAAACAATTGTTTGCAGTTTTTCCATTGATTCCGCTATAAGAGCTGATCATCAGCATATCGTACATTGTTTATATTCACGCCTCCAATTGATATTCCAGTAAGATCTTCTATTTTTCTATCTCACTATAGAGATTGTACAAGTCTGGAGAGAATACACGGCCTTGTCTAACACCTTTCTTTATTTCGACAAAACTAGTCATTTTGTTACCAACTTTTATCGCTGCTTTTTGTCCCATTAGAGGTTTTTAATAACTCTCATGTCTTTTCTATCAATGTCCAAATTTTCCAATATTTCCATAAACTCCACATGTTTCTCGCTATAAAATGCTTTGGAGTAATTTATCAAGGCATTTGTTATCTTTAATTGGTTTCATTTTGGAAAGCGCAGCACGACCTTCAGATCTAAGTATTTTTGGTCCTTCTCCATCTTTTTTAATAGGAAGCTTTTCACCACGAATATCATCAAAAAGATCATTAATTTATTCAGTCCATCTTTCAAGTACTTTTTCTTTCTCGAAGATTACTTTACCGGATTTTGCTTTTATGTATCCAGAAACGCTACAAGTGCTTTTTCATGTGATTGTATTGATGTTTTGATACATTGTGTTTGTTAACCCGTTTATGATCTTTTCAATGATTTTGCACTTGTCATTTAACCATTTCAATTTTTCCTCTAAGCTTATTTTTTTAAATTTAATTATAAATAAATAAATTAAAATATTAGAATTTAATTAAAAATTTTTAAAATGTTCAATTGATAATGAAATAATTTATTAAAATTGTAATTAAAAATAAAATTATATAATTTGTTAGTACTGTTAGCATTATTTTTTGATGAAAAAAATAAAATTTTATGGTGCATTTGCAGTGTGTTAATAAAAATACATTATGCCAACTATCTGAAATTTTGATGTATCTATTTGATGTATCGAGTCATCCATGATTTCACTTATTATGCTTATCAGCTAAAGCAGTAGCGAAATTTTATCAGTTATTGTTTAATTTTGTTAATTATTTGAGTTGTTTTAAAAAAGCTGATCTAACAAGCAAATTCAATTATCAAGTTGTGGACTCTATATTGCGAATTACAATACATTTTGGACATGCCTTGTTGTGAAGAAACAAACAGTTTTTCACCTCAACAAATTGTTATGGATTTCTGGGCAAAAGTTACTCCTGGCATATTGCAACTTCTTTCCCATTCTAAAATAGTTTGTAGTGTTTTTCATGAGAGACAAAATTTACTAATAATTTACTAATACTAATTTACTAATTACTAATAATTTTTTCCAAACAAGGTTGCTGAAATGGTCAATTTACATTTACTTGGGTTAATGGAAGCGCTGCAGGAATGCAATTCAACTATCCTTGTCAAGGTTAACTTCATAGTTATCGATATATATATATATATAATTTGGTATGAGGTTCTCAGATAAACATGTTCGGTTGAAGATTACACCCCATTTTGCAGTTAGAAGTTTTTTAAATAAAATTTAAAAGAGATTAAATTTAAAATCTCTCCTTTTAAATTTATTCGTTTATTTTCAACAATATAATGAGTTAATTATAAAATATAGGCTCCGACGATGGCATTAGCCGAAACGGCCGTCAGCCAAACTTCACAGTTTAATAAAGT